TTTTGATACTGGAGATTGAACCCAGGGGCACTTAAACACTTGTCCCCTTTTATTTGAGACAGGGTCCTGCTAAACTGTTGAGGCTGGCCTGGAACTTGCAATCCTCCTGCCTCAGCCTCCTGAGCCAGTGGTATTCCAGGCGTGTACCACCATGCCTGGTCCTATTTTTAAATACTATATAAAGGGTTTTTTTTTAATTTAAGTATTATTGATTTATTCATTAGTAACATTAAAAGGCAAATAATAATTAAAAATCAAACTTTGGTAAATAGTATGCCTAGCACGCAAAATGCCCTAGGTTCAAACTCAGCACCAAAAGAAAACTTTTCTTTTTAAAACATGAGTTCCTAAGGACCATCTATATTAGTGCTGTTCAAACTGTAATGGGCTCTCTCTCCTGGGGATGCTGCTACAATACAGAATCTGACTCAGTAGCTATGAGATGGGCCCCAAGATTCTGCAAGTTTAAGAAGCTCCTGGATGATTTAGGTGTTGATAGTCCCTAGACCAGCCTTCAAGTAGCAAAGAATTTGTAATAATCATCTGAGCTATAGTTTTGAATGTTTTATGTCCCTCCAAAATTAGTGCTTAAAAAATCTCCAAAACAAATAGTAAGAGGTGAAATCTTTAGAAGTGATCAGGCCATGAGGGGACAAGGCACCATCTATGCAGCAAAGAGCAAGCCCTCACCAGATAACAAATATGCTGGAACCTTGAGCTTGTCAGGTCTATAGAACTATAAACAATAACTTTCTTTTAGAAATTACTCACCTAAGTATTTTCTGGGATGTGGGGCCAAGAAGTTTAAATTAGCTCCCCAGGAATTCCTAGGCCCTTAAAAAAATGATGGAGCACTTACCTACCATGCGTGAGGTCCTGGGTAAAACACCCAACAGTACAAAATACAATAAATAAAAATGTGAAAGTAAAAGAATTTAGAGTATAATTGATGAACTCAGTGTCTTTCCTTTGATGACTAGAAAATCCACAGCATTTTGACTTTTGAGTTAAAAACCAAGATAGTCAAGTGCTACCTAAATAGTGGCACTAAACTAGCACATTTGATACCATGGACTAAAATTATCTTTTGGGGGAAATGGCATGTGCTGGTAGCCTATCTGTTGCCACATGTCATGCAATGCAATTTATGCTTTCCATACACTGTTTCTTTTAATCTGTTCATTTCAAAAGTGGCACCTGAACAAAAGAGCCTCTACCTAAAGTCAGACTGTGGGTTCAAAACCAACTAGTCTCAGCTGGGTGCCTCTGCACCTGCCTGCAATCCCAGCATCTTCTGTAATCCCAGAGATTCAGGAGGCTGAAGCAAGAGAATTGCAAGGCTGGTCTAGGGACTATCAACACCTAAATCATCCCGGAGCTTCTTAAACTTGCAGAATTTTAAATTGCCAGCCTGGGCAATTTAGTGAGACCTCATCTCAAAATAAAAGGATATATAGCTCAGCAGTAAAATGCCCATGAGTACAATTGATTACAGAAAGGGTGGGGGAGGGAGAAAGAGGAAGACAGAGGGAGAGAACACGCAGGAGAGAGCAGCCTGAGTCATGCATGATGGTGTACACCTATAGTTGCAGCTATGAGAAGCTGAGGCAGGCAAGTTTGAAGCCAGTTTTAGCAAGAAACCCTGTCAAACCGACCAACTCCTTTTTTGGGTAGGGAGTGTCCCGGGGACTGAATTCAAGGGCACTTGACCCCTGAGCCCCATCCCCAGCCAAACTATTTTGTATTTTATTTAGAAACAGGATCTTACTGAGTTGCTTAGGGCCTCACGTTTGCTGAGGCTGACTTTGAACTTACAACCCTCCCGCCTAAGCCTCCCAAGCTAGTAGTATTACAGGCAAGTACCACCATACCCAGCTATGAAAGACCAACTCTTCATAGCTGCTACTTTATTTGCTTATATTTTTATGTTCTACTTCTGATCATCTCATCCTGCTCCACGTTGTAGATGGGATTACTATTCCTGACTATTCCTCCTTCTCTACAACAGGATTTGATATCCCTGCCCATTGGCAAGTGAAGTAAATGTCCCCAGTTCACAGACTTTGGGTATGACCCTTTGACACACTTTTCAGCATTTCTTTTACTAATAAAATACTTAGAAACAAGCTATAGTCTATTAAATATAATAATTACAATGACATAATAACATGAGGAAATACATAATATAAAATGAAATGAATATAAAATGAAAAACATAATATGACCGATTACAGCTATGAAAACTGCAGCATGCAGCATATATATGCACAGAGGAAAAGACGACTGAAAGGAAATCTATGTCAACGTATGATCAAGATTTTTTTGGAATTACTAATATTAATTTTTGTACTCTAAGTGTCTGTTAATGGTGTCATTATGCTTCAATAATATACAAATTCACCTTCAACTTTGAAAATTCAAGGCAAGACTTCTTAAAATATAGTTTTAGGGAGTATAAAACATGGGCATGTCTTTGCAGAAGTGAAAAAGCCACACCTCAGAATTTTGCTCTTTATTGTGCAATAAAACCCCAGGGTCATCAGTTACTAGCAGTACGACCTTGTATAAGTTAACCACTCTGCATTTCCTCATCCATAAAAGGATTTAATATCTACTTCTTGGGCTATTTAGCACATTAAATAAGGTAATACATATAAAGCACCTGACTCTCATAAGCATTCAATAAAAGTACCTTTCTTTCATTACAGCTAATATCACAGAAAATGGATATAATTATATCTCTTATAAAAAAGACTACCTCAATGAGGCATTAACTAGAGATAATATTCGAGGCAATTTAACACCCTCAGCACTCCATGGAATCAGCTAGAAGGAGTTCCTACGGCATGAACCACTTCTAAGGACCCTCAGGATTACACTGGGCCTATCAGGATAATCTATTTTAAAATCACCTGAGTAACAAGCTTTATTCCATCTGCAAACTTCAATTCCCCTTTGCTATGTAACACATTCACAGGTTCTAGGGATTAAGACATGGATATCCTTACAGGGCCATTCTTTATATGTCATACTGTGGTACTTGACAGAAAATAATTCAATACTTAATAAGCCACTGACATGCTAGATTCCCACAACAAAGCACATTCCTCATGAACCCATCTTTTCTGATCTTGGATCCTCTCCATGGCTGATTAACCAACACTCAGCCATTTAAAGAAAAGTATTTAACTCCAGGAAGTATACTTAAATAAATGCATGTTACCCCTCATTTGTTCAGCACTGACTGAGGGCCAAGTTCCAAAAGAGGTAAATATGACAGTCTCAGACCACAAAGAAGTCAGTAGAAGCTGGGATGAAATAGAATCCCAATGGCATTGAAATCAGGCTACTAGAAGGACCCTTAAAGTTCTGTGGAGCTGTAACTAAGGTTGCTGGAAGGCTTCCCGGAAGAGGGTGTTTGAGCCAATTGTTTGGAAGAAAAGACATTTGAGGGACTGAAAGGACAAGGCTCAGCATGGTGCCGGTGAGCACAGGCAAAGGAAGAGGCAGAATGGGGGGAAGACTACATGTTGCTTCTGAATTCTGCTGGAAAATAATGTCATTTTAAACACTAGAGGGGAGGGCTGGGATTGTGGCTCAGTGGTGGAGCCACTTGCCTCACATGTGTGAAGCACTGGGTTCACATATAAATAAATAAAAACAAGATATGAAAAAACTAGAAGGGAGGAAGAAGCCAGCCTAAAACCTGAGGCTATAAAGGAGCCTCTGATCCCAGAAAGTGTGCAGCAAGATAAAGAAAAACTGAGGCCACTGAGGATTGGGCCTATGAGTTCATCACTGGGCCACTAACGAACAAGGTCATTTTTGGATTCTGTTTTTTTTTTTTTTTTTTTTTTGGCTGGGGGAGTACCAGGGATTGCACTCAGGGGCACTCAACCACTGAGCCAATTCCCCAGCCCTATTTTGTATTGTATTTAGAGGCAGGGTCTCACTGAGTTGCTTAGTGCCTCACCGTTGCTAAGGCTGACTTTGAACTCACGATCCTCCTGCCTCAGCCTCCTGATCTGCCGGGATTACAGGCATGCACCACCATGCCTGGCTTGGATTATGTTTTAAAGAGAGGCTAGAATACAAAATGACAGCAAATGGTCAGAAGGGGAGAACACAGGACAATAAAGGGGACAAGGAGCTGGGTACCTTGGGAGAATGTCATCCATGTACTTGGGAAGATGAGGAAGAAGGTCCCAAATTCAAGGCCAGCTTGAGCAACTTAGCAAGACCCCCACCTCAAAATAAAATATAATAAAGTGGGGGTATAGGTGGAAGACAAGAGGGAAACATGGAATGAGAGGGGCAAGGCAAGGTGGTAGGTAGGGAACTTCTCTGAGCTCTCACCAAGAACCAGTCACTGTGTTTGTACATTATCATGTAAGGAATGAAGGTGAAAAAAAAAACAGTGACTCTGCCCACCAGTTTCTCTTTCCAATAGTGAGTATCAAGAAGAAGCAGTATGTAAGGTGAAGTAAAAATTCTGAGTTTTGACACATTTGTAGACCAAGGAAAATAACCAAGTTAGAAGGAAGACAATATATGACAGAGTATGACAGCTAGAGTATGTCCTGACAAAGGCAAAAATGGGTCACAATCAAGAGCACAGCGGGGAGGCAGGGGATGTGGCTCACTGGCATGCATGAAGCCCTGGGTTTGAACCCTAGCACTGCAAAAAAAAAAAAAAAAAAAAAAAAAAAGATACAACAATTCTTCCTACTTTGTGTAGGTACCTGTGAATAAATAAGCAAAAAAAAAATTAAATAAAGAATATCAGATTTGGGTGGGAACTGGAGGACCCTCTTCTGTGGATTAGGGAGAGGTGCCAGCAACAGAATAGGTAAGAGGCTGTGAAGTAGAAGGCAAGTGACAAACCCCAATTTTTGAAAACCAAAGAAACTTCCTTCATTTCTTCTGGTCTGATCAAAACCATAGGAGTAATTGCACAAATCAGGGTTGAAACTAAGAGAAAGTCTTAATTATGGTTTTACCTTGAAGCAGCTCTGTTACCTTCAGTGAGTCAGTTAAACTTCCTAAGCTGCATCTTTAAAAGGGAGATTTATAAGATGATCCAGCTGTCCCTTCCAGCTCTACATTTCAATGGCTTCAAGGAGACCGTTCCGACCTTGAACAGAGTGCCAGGTTACCTACCAGAAAAAAGAACCAAAAAAAAAAAAAGTAAGACATGAACAAAAAGTAAAGGTGTATATAATTTAAATACCCTTGAGCCATTTTCACATCTTGCTTTTGACAGTGACAGCCACAACAAACAGATGGCTACTGCTGACAAGGGTTGCATCATTAGTCCTAATGATAATTGATGTTTTTATAGCTCTTTACTGTTTAGAAAGAGCCTTCACACATGAAGCAGTTTTACTTAATCCCCACAACAGCCCTATGAGAAAGATAAGGTACTATTCTATTCATTTTCTAGCTGAGGAACACAGGCTTATAAAGGTTGGAGGCCCAAGGCCCTAAAGTAGATGAATGACAAACCTGGGACTCAAATTCAGGCACCCAGAATTAAACATTACAATTTTTTTTTGTTTCCTTGCTGTTTCTTAGACACTGACACATAGCTCCTATTTCCCCATTAGGCATCACAAACATAGAACATTTGAAAGACTCAAAAAAGACTTGCCTAGTTTTACTTTTTTAATTGATGCTGGCAATACAGTTTATTGAAATCCAAATACAGCCTTAATTTCCAAGTGATGAATGATTCATTGGAATCCAAAGGGCAGAGACAGAAAGGATTAGGATTCAGCTACAGTCATGTGCTGCATAAGGATGTTTCTGTCAATAATGGGAGCTGAAAAAGTTCCTACCAGTTTTAACCATAGCACAATGCATTACTCACATGTTTGTGGTGATGCTGGCATATACAAACCATGGTGTTCCAGTCAAATAAAAGTATAGCACGTACAATCATGCACAGTATATGATACTTGGCTATACTAGCTAGGTTTATGTAAGTACACCCAATGATATTTACACAGTGACCAAAAAAATACCTAATAATGCGTTTCTCAGAACTTATCCACTTCATTAGGGGACACGTGATTGCATACTGATGTCCTCATTCTCAGCATGAGGAAACAGAGGCCCCTTGCAGAAAAGATGACTTATGAGAAGCAGAGCCAACATGAGAACTCAGGGCCTCCACCAGCCCTAGGGCTCTTGGCCCAGCCAAGTCTTACACAGCTTCAAACAAAAGTTAACAACAGACTTGCTCCTTAACAATGAAATGGTTCAACTTTAAGTAATTTGAGGGGCTAGTTCTCTTGTTTTTACATGTGTGAACCATATGGACACTGCCTATTAGTGGTACTAGAATTCTCTGGAGCGAATTCCCCACCCAAATGGGAGAGCTTGTAATGACAGTCATGCCTCATTTTACCAGCAAAAAAAAACGAGAAATGTAAATGTGCCCAATAAGGAATCTATTTGAGAGCTTTAAAACAACTGAAACTGCCTCCATTACCATCTTCTACCTACAAAGTATTTTCTAGACACATTTAAATGGAAAAATGGAAAAAGTACGATGAAAATATTTTGAAGAGAACCATATTGTCCTAAGTATTCCCATTTTCCTCCTTTGGAAATATTGTAATGAGTCAGCAGGTGCTTACCACCAAAACTACTTTTTATCACAAAGCTGAAAAATGTAATGCTTAAAAAACAGAAGACTCCATGAGAATAAGTGAGAACATGCAAATGATATACATTAGGAAACTGTAAATCCCATCTGACTTGGTTTACAAAGAAAAATAGTTTGCTGTGGCTTCCATTCCACTATAAAGGACTCAAAGACAGGAATGCCAGACGAAAGGAGCCCTACTGAGGTAAACTGATACTCTGATTTCCTTCCCTCTGGGCATCTGGAAACTCTGGGCTCACACTGTTGAGTCTTGCCAAGGGAAAGGATTTTTAGTAAGGAAAAGGGAGCCAGTAGAGCTTTATGGTGAACAAACAAAGGCTGAGGTGACAGATAGGAAATCCTCCATTTGCTCAGTTCTGGAGCTGGGAAAAGAAGCCTGAAATACTAAGCTGAGGGTTTCTAGAAGGCAGAGTGGAGTCTCCTCCAGATCTGCATGAGTATGTTCCAACTGCAAAAGTTAAGGGAACAGGAGGCTAAGCTCAAGCCCACCAACGGAGGTCAACCATAGTTGTAGTGAGTCTTCCTAAAAACCAAACTGGCCTTAATTTAGCTCAATTGTCATCGGACTGGAAGTAGTCAGTTCCTCATTGTATTTACCTTACAGAGAAAAGGAAGAAATCTGTAAAAGAAGATATAATCTAGAGCTAGTAAGATTCTTTTAGATATGATGTTCAATATAAAATATATTAACAGAACTGCAACAAAATGTAACCAATACTCAAAAGAGAATAAGAATATGGATGAAGACTCACAGATGACCCAGATATTGGATTTAGTAGACACAACCTTTATTTCTTTTTTTAATATATTTTTTAGTTGTTGATGGACCTTTATTTATGTGGTGCTGAGAATCAAACCCAGTACCTCACACATGTCAGACAAGCACTCTACCGCTGAGCCACAACCACAGCCCAAGATCTTTATTTCTTTTTATTTCTTATTTATTTTTTGTACTGGGGATTTAATTTTGATTTTGAGACAGGGTCTCACTAAGTTACTGAGGCTGGCCTTGCACCTGGAATCCTCAACTAGGATTATAGGCATGCACATACCACACCCATCTAGACAAGACCTCTTAAATAACCATGATTAACTGGGTAAAGAACTAAGGAAAAAAAAAACAGGAAACAGAGGAAAAGTTGAGGAATTTCAACAGACAACTAGAATCCATTTAAAAAGGCAATCCAAAGGACAACCCTGGAAAAATTAAGTATCTGAAATTAAGACACATCCCTCTATCTAGGGATATAGCTAAGTGATACAGCACTTTCCTGGCATCCTTGAGACCCTGGGTTCAATCCCCAGCACTGCAAAACAAAAGAAAATACTGTGATGGAAATTACCTGCTTATTTCCACCTGACCACCAGAATTATTTCATTAACATAATAATACAGCTCCACATTTTACAGTTTTATGGTAGGATTTCACTGAAATTCAAGAAAGAGGACAAAACCACAGTATTAAATACTAGTGTCAGAAGATGCAACTTCAGAGATCAGCATTCCAAACCTCATGTTAAGATGGTAACACTGAGGATCAGAGCAATAAAAATGTGCCCAACTACCAATAATTACTTAGAAGATGACTGGGGACCAGAACAGCAGCCTCCTGACTTTTAATCCAGCCTTCTGAGTCGAACTTTGGACCAGTACAAGGACATATCCAGTCCAAGGTCAAAGCTCTTGGTGAAACATTTGGCTTTTATGTAATTTTTCTTTCCACTGAGAATGATGCAAAATTCAGCATAGTAGGTACTTATGCACTCTTACCATGTAGGTATATAAACCTGCTATCTTCACTGAAAAAAGCACCCCACACACACTCAGCAACTAACATGTGTCAAAGAGGTACTGAAAGGTATGGCCAGGGACTGTCATTTGAACCCCAACAGTCAATCAGGTTTTTTCTGGATCCCAGAACGCCCCTCCATAAAATAAAAATGTTATCAACATGAGCAATGGAGACTATAGGAAAAGATCCCACATTGCCATCTTTGGAGATAAGGAAAGGACAACTGCTAATCCTATGTGGACCCTTTGTCACCAGGTACACTGTGTTCCCACAGTACACATGGCATTTGACCCTGCACAGCTGTTCCAAGAAAAAAACATTATCCTGCATAAATCTGAGGAATTGGGATTAACTGAAACCACCATACGCCCTTTCTCTTGAGGAAGTTCCTTAAGACTTCATTGTCTTCCTCTACTGTGTTTTTCTCATCAAATACCTGCCAGGTTTTTATTATCGAAGCACAGTCCAAGACCCTCCTGCACACACAGCTGGGCTGCTGGATAAGCAAAGTAGTTTCTGTGGCCATGAATGCAGACCTCTGTCTCTGTGCCCAAGCCTAGTTCAGAGGTTAAACTTACTGAAAATGTCACAACAAAAAAAAAAAAAAATTCTAGCCAGGTGTTGTAGCATACACCAGTGACCCCAGTGACTTGGGAGACTGAGGTAGGAAGATCACAAATTTAAGGCCAGCCTCAGCACTTTAGCAAGACTCATCTCAAAATGAAAGATAAAACATAAAAGGGACTGGGAATATGACTCAGTGGTACAGCGCCCTCTGGGTATTGCAAAAAAAAAAAAATTGTTGCTAACATATTAATGAGGAACGAAACTTAAGAGTATTTACAAATCATTTTAAAATTTTTTAATGTAGGATTAGTATTCAAAGGACAGAAGAGTAACTGATTACCATCTATCCCATGTTATATGTGTACTGTTTAAAATCTCTCTGTAAAAGCCAACAGTACATCCATTAACACCATTCCTTGTAGCACCTAAGGTTCCTCCCTTCCACCACTTTGAACTCATTAGTCATTTACCCCAACCTTCCCTCAATGTAAATATACTTTATTAATAATCCACAATAGAACTCAGTTACTGTCCTAGAAGGAAATTTCCATGACATCAGTTCCATATTTATGATGTGCACAGTTTTTGTTAATAGTTTACTTTATACAAGCAGATGTGTGAATTGTCTCTATGTCTACTTACCTATATAGATGTACCTATGTATGGTATTAGCACATTTAGACATACTCATTTGGGTATATATGCATTTATACTGTTTTTATACATCAGAAAATACACTTATAAGAATTCCTACTGTGCATCATTCCCAGAGTAGCTCTAAGCATAAGTACCCCAAAATGCTAGCTCAATTAGTGTCCTATACTCTTAAAATAACTTTATTTGATCAATTATTAAAATCATATGAAACATTGATTTGCTAACTCAACTTGTTGCGGTCTTCTAAAAATACTGAAATATGGCCATCTGAGTTTATGTTGTCATTTTAAGTAAAAACCAAATGTTACACAGGAATCCAATAAGTAACTGATCTATAAATGGGTATCGTGAGATAAGAACAAAATCTTTTGTTCTCTGAAAAATGAAAAGCATGAAAGCATGCCATAAGAAAAAAATTGAGAACATATTTTTTAACATAAGTTAAAATTCTATTTTCATCCTCAAAGAGT